AAACAGCGTCGACCAACAAAACCATCGAGCCTCACAACAGTATACTGAGACAACAATACCACGATAGTACACAACAAAAAACACAGAACGACCGAAACACAAAAAACCCACGGTGACTATCTACGCAGAAAACCGAACCATCAGCAGAGAGCCAAAACACAAACAACCAACGGTCCCAAAAATAATACAATGAGACCTAAACCAAAAACACAACTACTACCATATCAGAAAACAGAACTTACGAAACAACAAAAAAATCAGCAGAATATAAACCACAACACAAGCGTCAGCCAAGAAGCAAAACACGAAAGCGAGAACGCCGAAGAACCGAGGAATCACCGTCGACGAAGGTAAAGAGTCAAAACTTTAGGCGTAGATATTAAGGAGAGCATGTGGGTGGTTTATTTTGTCGCCGCCGATAGCAGCGGCCGGAAGCAGCGGTGATCGATGGCCGGCAACGGAGGAGTAACCACCCGACGGGGCCGAGTTACCAACGGATTAGAGAGAGATGAGAGAATTCTTTCTCTCATTTTGTAGAGAGAGACCAAAAATGTAAAAATGATAAGTTTGGCCTTAAGGGCAGGTTAGGAGATATAAATACCCTCCCCAAAACGACGTAGTTTTAGAGAGGGGTCGATGCGTAATTTTAAAATCTGGTAAACCCCTTTGTAGGGCCTTTAACTTTCATATATTTCAGTCACTGAAATCAATTTTTGATATTTTTAATTTTGACTTCCAATTTTATGCATGTTTAATTTAGTCACCTATTTTAATTTCACCTCTGTATTTTTAATTCATTCAATTTGGTCCTTTTAATTTTTAACTGTTCACTGTCTCGATTTATTTATTATCATTTCTTTAATCTTTTTAATTTCTATATATATATATGTATATTTGTTTTTATTTTTTATTTTCCTTTATTTATTCTTCATTTGTTTTTCTTTTGATTTCTTTAATTTTCTTTTTATTTTTTCCTTTTCCTTTTTATTTTATTTTTACTTTACATTTTATTTTCCTTTCTTTTGATTACTTAATCTATTTTTTATTTATCTTACTTTTCCTTTTGATTTATTTAATTTTTTCTTTTGGTTTTACCTTATTTGTTCTTATTTTTTTTCTTTTATTTATTTAAATATTTTTTCTAATATTTTCGACCATTTTTAGAGAAATTTCAACCGATCAAAGGTAAGTAATTCGAATCAAGTTTTTTTAAATTTAATTTAAATTTTTCAATTTTCTCATTTAAAGACATCGATGAATTAATTGGTACCGAAAAGGTGTTCAAGGGTGCTAATCATTCCTTGACCGTAACCGACTCCCGAACCCGACATGTTTCTGGTAAGATGCAGATCAGGTAAGATGGTGTCCGACCTAGCTAAATATTTTTAAAATGGTCGGTGACGACTCTAACCACACATTTTAAGTCAAAGCCCAATTCCGAGCCCAACCGAAAGACGGTTCCGACACTGCCTATATCAATTACAAGACAAAAGCAAGATCCTGCTTGGAATTGTCAAGTGTTTAAAATGGCGAAAGATTGCAAATTAAATGTATGTATTGTGGCAAAATGTTTAAGGAGGCGGGATTCATAGGTTTAAGGAACATTTAGCCGGCCGGAAAGGTCAGGGTCTGATATGTGAACAAGTTCCACAAGAGGTTCGAGCTCTTACGCAGGATAGCTTGAATGGGGTTTTAGGTAAACCCAGATAAGCAAAAGCAATTCCCAAACTTATTAGCCTGCGGTAGTAGTAGTAGTAGTCCACACGTAGCTGAGAAAGAAAATTATGCCTCTCATGATGATATGAGAGATGTCATCATACCGATTTCTGTTTTAAACACTTTGGAAGCTGATTCTGATTTGGCATTGAATGGAATAGGGGAAGTCACTAGGGGAAGTAGAGGTAGGAAACGGCTAAGGGATCAAAGTTTGATGGCAAAAAGTGTGTGCAAAAAAAAAAAAAATATTGAATTGGTTCTGATCAGGGTCGAGAATCCAGTTCATATGGCGATAGGGTGTTTCCTGTATGACATTGGAGTTGACTTGGATGCTGTGAACTCTGTTTGTTTTCAACCAATGATTGATGCTATTGTTTCTGGGGGATCTGGGACTGTACCACCTTCCTATGAAGGCCTTAGGGGATGGATATTGAAGAATGTAATTGAGGAAGTAAAGGATGATATCAATAGAAACAAAGCAATGCGGCCTAAGACAAGGTGTTCTATATAGTTGAGCAATGGAGCTCGAAAAACAGCAGAATTTTGCTAAGTTTTTTGGTTTATTGTCCTCAAGCAACTGTATTTTTAAAATCCGTGGATGCATCCCATGTTTTTATTCCCTGGATTATTTTTTTGAATTGCTTAAGCAGGTGATTGAAGAAGTAGGGGCTGAGAATGTTGTTCAAGTAATCACTAGTTGCGATGAGCAATATTTCTTGACCGGTAAAAGGTTGATGGAGTCATTTCCTTCACTTTATTGGGCTCCTTGCTTAACACATTGTGTGGATATGATGCTTCAGGATTTTTGTAGCCTTGGTTGGATGAATGAAACAATTGAACTTGCTTAATCTCTGACAAGATTTGTCTACAATCGTTGCGTGGTTCTGAATATGATGAGAAGATTCACTGGTGGTAACAACATTGTGGAACCAGCACTTCGTTTTGCTGCTACTTTGCAACACTGAAAAATGGCTGGTCGTAAGCTAAATTTTGCAGGCTATGGTTAGCTCGCAGGATTGGCTGGAATGCCCTTATGCGAAGAAACCAGGGGGTCTAGCGATGTCGGACATTGTTAGAAATAGGTCATTTTGGAATTCATGCATCTTGATTGCGCGAATAACACATCCCTTCTTGCAAGTTCTAGAAATAGTTGGTAGCAAGAAGAGAGTCGCTATGGGATACATTTATGCTGGAATTTACAGAGCAAAAGAAACAATTAAGAAAAAACTTGTCAAGAAAGATGAATATATGGTCTACTAGAATATTATAGATAATAGATGGGAACAACAGCGGCATCTTCTTTATGCTGCTGGTTTCTTCCTTAACCCCAAGTTTTTTACAGTACCGAGGGAAATATGCACAATGGTCCTATCGTCGGTGTTTGATAGCATAGAAAGAGATTGGTTCCTGATGCGAACACCCAGGACCAAATTGTCAGAGAAATAAATTTATACAAGAATGCTAGTGGAGATCTAGGAAGGCCAATGGCAGTTAGAGCCCTATAATTTACTTCCTGGAAGGATATCCATATATAGAGTGGAATTTCAAAATTGCTAGTTCTCGTTTATCGTCATTGCTACTTTTAAGAAAGTTTCAAGAAAATAACCCCCTTCACATGCCTATGACAAAGTTGCCTGATTGAAAGTTAGAACTTTACGAACTACATCTTTGAAAATAGTTATGGTATGATTTTTTTAGGTCTATGACATGCTTTATAAGAAATTATCTGTCTTTTTCTTAATGCAGACCATTATGTATCTAAGTTACAAATTGGGATAGTGATCTAATCGCATTTTCTTCATATTCATCCATATTATTAGGTGAATGGTGGTCTATATACCGGTGGAGGCTGCCCAAATTTGCAACAGTTGGCCATCCGCGTTCTCGGTCAAACTTGCAGTTCAATTGGGTGTAGGCCAAATAAGATTTCAATTGAAGAAATACACGACACAAGAAATATTCTCGAGCGTCAAAGACTTAGTGATCTTGTCTTTGTTCAATACAATTTGTATCTGAGACAAATGTAAGTCTAAAACGCCAACACTACTTCAATATTTTGGAAGTTTACAGTAACTGGATGTAAAGGAAATGTTGAGTTTCAAGTAATTTCTTTTGCAGGGTTCTTAGAAACCAAGAAAAGCATGCTGTGAATCCTCTCTCATTTAACAACAAAGATATTCTTGAAGATTGGATTGCCAATGAGGTATACCCTGAATATTATGAGAGTTCAGATTGGATGTCACTTGATCCCCCAGTTGATAACAGAACACCTTTAGCACCCCCAGGTGAAGAAACCGAAGACTTCTTGGGCAGAGGTACATACAGTTGGATGTATTTTTTCACTTATTGGCGAAGATGATAAACTCATAATTGTGGCCTATGTGCAGGGCTTACAGATTTAGACATTTTCAATGGATTGAAGGGGGTCAAAGAGGAGATATGAAGATAATGCTATGGTGCACCAAAGCAGTTAAACTCTCACCTAAGAAATATGTACAAAGAAAGCTGTTAGAGTTCTCAGAATAACTAGCAATGGGTTTAGGAAATTTTCTCCCTGTAAGGTTGAGAAAACTACTTTAAAGTCTAGTTTTCTGCACTTGACCAAAGCTGAAGAATGCTGGAAATAGTTCTTTATCAAGGAATGCGGTTGTAATTTAAGGTTGCTAGTCTCATGAGGGCCATTTTGTGCAATTTGTTTTGTGTGAGTTTGTCATGAGTACAAATACTGGAATACGAACTAAGCCAGGGTTAAAATTTCTTGATCCTTGCTGCAATCACAGCTTGTAATTTGTATTTACCAATTTTATCAGTTACATGCAGTTTCTCTGAGAATGCCTCGTAAGTTTCTTCCCTGAGAAAATGATAGGTTTCGTTGAGGATTAAAAGGCTTACGGGCTAGAGTTGGTAAGTCTCATGATAGCCTTTTTCCTCGGTATGAAAGCCAGGGACTAAATAAAAAACTTGTATCACCTCTGCTGACATCGGAAAGGCTTTACTAATAGTTCCACGTTACTCGGACTAGTGTTTTATACAGGTATGTCTTTGACACGGATATGTTCGATTTGGAGCTCACAAACTCATGTCCGAGTATGTGCCGGATATAGGTTTCAAATGTCGATGATTTAGGGGAAATAAATAGATGGTGCAACGTTATGGTTATAGAATTGATAGGAGATATGAACCAGAAACATTTTCGATCCAATCGAATTTTACTGAATACAAACTTAGATTTTAAGAAGCTCCAACTGTTATTTGCAGACATGCAAGGGAAAGAATCAAACAAGTTTCCCAACCAACCTCAAAACCTGAGCTATAAAGCTTTCAATTCTACTATGCATAATTAAAAGGAAAATGCAGAGGGGAAAATCAACAAAAGAGCAACACCAGAATCAAGAAACACAAAAAACCCTTTAACTAATAATGCTTTCCCAGAATAACACCGACGATCACCGACACAAAGGCTACTCCCAAAACGATCTTTAAGGTTGTCAAAGGAGAAGCCTCGGCATGGGTAGTTGTTGAAGAAGAGGCAGCTTGCGCAGAAACCGCTTCCAATTTTTTCTTACCCTTACGTTTTGATGGTGTTGAAAATGTTAATCCATCAATGTCTCGGGATTTCGTCTCTAAGCTATCTTTTGATTCGGCTGCACTGCTTGCATCCTGCAACACACGATTTATGATAAGCAACTCTCAAAATTTTCAGAAAATGTAGCAAAAATGATCTTGAATAGTGTATCGAGTTGAAAAACAGTCAGGTTGAGCACTCTATATTTGTTGATTTGTTTCACTAAAAAAATGTATTAGTATCACAAGATGTGAACAAAATAAACATCTTAAAGTTGGAGAGGAGATTTGAACTGACCTTCAGTTTAGCTTCAGCTACTTGCAATTTATCTTCCAACTCCTTGACCTTCTTCTCCAGAAGTAATGCTTCTTTCTTTTTGGCTTCAATCTCTTCAATCGAAAGCTTTAAAGCCGCTTCCTGTTCCAACTCTTTCTGGGAATCAACTTCTTTCTGTTTGTTCGACATTTTGACAAAGAATAAGAAACGGTCAATCCAATCCTTCAGAATTGATAATTTCCAGCATGAAAATGGAAAGAAATCAAGATTAGATTTCATAATAAATTTTGAATAAGTTTTTGGTTAACTTAAGGTGTCAGAACTTGTGTTGTTCTTCAATTCAACATACAGAAAAAGGATCACTAAGATGCGTAATATTTAATAAATTTATTGTTTAACCTGTTGAGCAATGGTTGTCTGAGCGACTTGTAAATCTCTTTGAAGTTGAAGCACTTGTTCATTGATAACATCTCTATCACTGATTTTTTGTGCTTGATCCTCCAATTTTGAAGTTAACTCAGCCTCTCTTACAGAGGCAGCTGTCTTAACACTTTCAATCTACAAGCAAAAGACCAAATACTTAGAACTGATCATTGGCATTTGATTTGGAAAATGTCAACTATCAGAGTCCTTTATTAACAGAGTATAGTACCCCTTCTTTCAATTGATTTTCAATGGTCACCACCTGTTCTTCGAGTTCTTTGACATGAGTTTGCAGTAAGGAATGCTTCGCAATCTCAGCCTTGAGATTTCCAATCTCCGAGTTTAGAGTATCTTCATTTTCTTTCTGATCTTTCAATTGCTCTTCAAGCTGTAATATTACAGATTGAAGTTCCTTCTTTGTATTCTGATGTGTTTCATTGAGCAGGTTATTCTCCTCCATTAGTGAAGAAATCTATAACACAAAGCAAAATTAAGAACAAAGGAACTATCTTATAAAAATGGAAAATCTTCATATTGTAGTTGGATGCTAATAAAGTTTTCAACAAACCTGAGACTGTAAACTTTGCCCTTCAGAGGTAATCTTCTGTGTTAAATCTTCTGTAGCTTTCTTTGAAACATGAAGCTTTTCAGCTGTTTCATCCTTCTCTTTCAAGGCTGCTGCCAGTTTGCCTTCCAAATCACCGAGCTTTGCCTCATATTTGGCAAGTTCTTGAGTAAGCTTCAAATTTGCCTCAGCTAGTCCTCCACTCTCCTTTTCAAAGTGAGCTGACTTGGTTTGCAGTTCCTCAACAAAGCTTTCCAGCTGCTTTAATTTTACAAGACTCTCTTCCACCTCAGCTTGTCGAGATACAGCAATTGTGGATGCCTCATGAGCTTGTTCTTCATATGTTCTAATTTGGCCTTCTAGCATGTTCAACTTTTCAATCAGATCATTGGCTTCCAATTCTTTCATTGAGTATTTTTCAATAGCTTCATGTAACTGTGCCTCTGCTTCAACAATTCGTGATTCAGCTTCAGCTCGGAGTTCTGAGGCCTTTGTATGCTGATCTGATAATTCTTTAATTGTGGACATGTGGGAAGAAATCTCTTGAGAAGTTACTTCCTTCTCGGACACAGCTGAGTTAAGCAATTCTTGAAGCTCATCAACTCTGCTCTTGAGCTGAATGTTTGTCTGGACTAAAAGCTCATTCTCTGAGGAAGACTGAAGGGATTTTTTCTACCTCCAACATATCTTTTCTGAGTTGTTCATTTGTGCCTTCCAACGAAGCCAGTTTCACTAAGTTCTGATCCAATTCTTCTTTTAGAGATGCGGACTGTCCAGCTGATTGAGCAACCTGTTCTTCGTACACCTTTATCTGATCTTCAAGCGATTTAAGTTTCTCAAACAGAGATTTTGCTTCTGAATCCTTGTTGGAGAAGTTTTCCATCACTTCTTGGAGCTTAAGCTCTGAATCCCTTGTTAGAGATTCATGTAATGACTCAAGCTCTGAGTTTCTTGCCTTAGCTTGCTCTAATACTCTTACTTGTTGCTCTAGTTTCTCTTCAGCAGACTTGAGCTTTTCCATGACATCACTTTCTCTCAAACCAATAGCCTTGTGATCATTCTCGATGCTTTCCAACTTCTGCTGTGTCAGATTTAAATCACTCCGCAAGATTTCCACCAGATTTTCTGCTTCTGCAAGCTTTTCACTGGAGCTTTGCGATGTCTCTTCTAACTTTTTCTTCTCATCTGTTGCCAAATTTAAGCACTCTGTCAATTCCTTTTCCTTTTCATTGGCCATCTGCAGTTCAATTTCAAGGCTCGATGTTCTAGCTTGGAATGCCTCGAGTTCAGATGCAAGTTCAGATACCTTATCAGAGTATCTAGTGGACTCGCCTTCTGCATCTCCACACCTCTTTTCTAATTTGCTTATCTGTTCCTCAAGTTCCTGGATCTTGTACTTCTTTGCTTCAAGTAACAACTCCAGCTCATTGACACTCTTTTCGGCACCCTCTAATTTGGAATGAGAGGTCTGGCACAGATCCTCTAGCTCAAGGCTGCGCTGATGACTCATATTAGCTCTGTCCTCATGGTGAGTACTTCTCTCTAAAGCAGTCTTCAACTCCTCTGCGAGCTCTGAAATCTTCTCTGCCGACTGGTTTAGAGCTGATTCTAGCTGATTTATCTTCTCCCGACATTCCTGCATTTGATTGTTCAGCATCTTCTTTTCTTCCTCAACCTCTCCCACCTTTGTCTCAAGTTCAGATATTTTCCCTGAAGATTCCTTCAGTTCTTGCTCAGTTTCAAAGCCTTTGAGCTCTACCAAGTTTAGCTGTTGTTCAAGCTCCACATTCCTCTGCTCGGTTGCTATAAGACGTGCCTCAACTTCCCTCAGTTTCGATTTTGCATCTTCTGCTGCCTCATTTGAAGCCCGAAGTATATCCTCCAGCTCAAAATTCTTTTGAGTAGCAGTTGCTGCAGCAGCTCCAGATTCACTATGGAGCTCTTCAAGAGATCTCAATTTCTGTTCAAGCTCCTCATTATTAGACAGAGCCTGAGACAAAAGAATCAGTTTTACTGAAATTCTCATTTGAAAGCTTCAGTTTTTCTTCAAGTTCGCTGCACAACTCCTTGAACAGTTCTTCATTACTGTTAAGATCTGCAATGGTTGTTTCTAGAGCTTCTTTTTCTTTCAGCGCTTTGCTTAATTCTTCTTGTACAGTTGAAATGTTGAGGTCCTGTTCCTTCAGCGTAGCTTCAACCAGTTCCCTTGATTTGACTTCCTCCTCCAGTTTCAACTTGATATCTTTAAGCTCAGAAACCTTTGCTTGAAGATCTTTTTTATTTGCAGTAAAACTATTCTCAAGGGTTGAGATGTCTTCCTTCAACTTGGATTCTGAAGCCTTTTTCAGGTCCAACTCCTCAGTCAGCTCATTTATAAGAGCTTTCTTTGAACCAAGTTTTTCCTCCAAGCCCAACACTAGTGATTTAGAAAGTGCCAACTCCTCCGTTGCTGCAGAAAGTTCAGCTGTTGTACTTTGAATTGCTGCTTCGACCTTCTGGCTTTCGGCAACCTTCTCATACAGGCTCTCGACTTCTTCTCTCAGGGCGGTCATCTGATCTTCCAATTCTTTTGCACTAAGTTTTGAAGTTTCAAGCAATCTCTCAAACTCCAAAGCTCTCTGTGTCTCAGACTCGGCATGTGAGCCACTTTGTTTGTGAAGTTCTGCAAACTTGCGTGCCTCTTCAACAGAACTCTGCAGATCCTGCTCCAACTCTTGCATCTTCTTTCTTGAGTTTTCGATCTCAATGTTGAGACCATCATATGCTTCCTTTACTTCAGTGAGTTCCTTCTGTTTTGTCTCTCGAGCTTGCAAAGCCTCTTGCAAACTGGTTAGCTGTAAACTATATCCCTGCTCAGCTTCAACGATCTGTTCTTGCAATTTCTTATGATCAAGACCAATGTCTTCATACTTTTTTCCCACCTCATCCAACTTCTCCTTCGCTAGCAGAACTTCATCCTTCAATCTGCTGTTCTCTGATTCAGAATGCTTTAATGCTCCAATCACTCTTTCCAATTCAAGCTCGAGTTCTTTCGACTTTTCTTGGGCTTCAAGTAATTCTCTACTAGATCCACTCGCAAATCTTTCGATATTCGATTCATTATCCCGCGCAGATGCAGGATTCGCCAAATTAGAACCATCTTTCAGCTCTAGTGCTTCCTTCTCTACTTTAATGAACTCTCCATCTAGGATGGTTTCTTCCGCTTCTTTCTTTCCTTCTTTTTCGACTTCCCTCAGGTCTCCATTAGAGGCCTGTAATTTATCACCACCATTAGAAACGAGTTGTGAATCTCAAACACATACAGTTTATTATCACAACAAAATTTGAAGTTTTGAAAGAGAAAACTGATAAGAATTTTAGATATGCATATACCTTAATAGGACCGGAAACAATTCCAGTGCCCTCGACAGCTTCCTTCACTGGGATTTCAGTACTCGCTGTGTTGTCTCCTTCCATGTTCACCTGTGATCATAGGAGTTCACAATTCAGAATTAATAATATTACTTAATTAATCAAGTTTAAACTTTGTCTAATACCGGCTTAATTAAAAATATATATAAAAATCAAAGTTATAATAATATATCATATATATTTTTTACAAAATTGATTACTTTCTTCAAGGAGAGAAAACGTCGTCTTTTTCACTTCTACCAACTAATACAAAGAGTCGTAAGTGGAAGGTTCAGTGCACATCCCAATCAAAATTTTATTAATTTTTATTATTATTAAAAAGCCTTTTTTTTGGCTAACTAAAAGGAATCCTTGACGTTATAGATTCCTTTGAGATCTAAAACACTCTACCTAACAGGAAGCACTGAGCGAAAAGAAGAAAACAAAAGTTAGAAACAGTGTATAATTTTACATATAATTGATCTGCAGATAAATTTGATTTGATTAATTAATTATACTACAACAAACGAAACGGTGATCAAGAGAGATGGAATCGGTGATCCGATCAAGAAAGGATCAAAATCAACAGTCAGCAGAAACGATGAAAGAGTAGCAGCTATTTTGATCTTTAGTGGATCAACAAAACAACAGTCAACAGAAATCCCAATCCACAACAGAAAGACAAAACAACAACAACAAACTCAGGATTAGCAGAGAATATCTAAAATTGTTCACCTGAGAAACAAGTGATCATGATTCGTACATCCTATATATGTATAATATGTACATATATACACATGCAGGAAAGATTAAAAAGGGATTTGATGCTTGCCTGATGAGAAAAATGCGAATGGATTTGCTTTTGCTGCTCTTTTGATTTTCTGAAAATGGCTGAATTTTTCAGAAATAAGTAAAAGAAAGGTGAGGGCGATGAATGATTAAAAAATTGTGAGAGAGAATCTTCGGTATATATAGCGATACACAGTACGTGGGGCCTCACTTCAACAGCCAATACCACAATACCTGGGTCGGAATGCTGCCAATTCCCTAATACAGCGCCCATAGATTTCTCCCTAATTACATTTCATACCAACCAATCTCTCTCTCTCTCTCTCTCTCTCTTTCCTTTTTCTTTTCAGTTTCTTCACCTTCTACCTTTTTTTTAGTTATTAAGATTGAACTTACCGAATATATAAATAAGGATAATAATGTAAAAGAATATCTTAATTTCTGCATAATCATAGAATATCTAATTGCATAAACAGATAATCTCAAATCATTTAAGGTGAGAATCCACAACACAAAAACGATTATATCTATAAATAATAGGATTGTTAATGGATAGTTAATTGTTCTGTTTAATTAAACGGTTGGTTAAATATTATAACTATTATGAATTTTTTTAACCATAACGTAATCGTTAATGGTTAATTGTTATTAACGGTTCGGTTATAGGTTAAGTTCCGATTAACCTATTAAATTTATTTATCAATTTTTTTTTTCATAATGCATACTACAAAAAAATTTAACAATTAACATATACTTAAATTGGTGTAAGTGAATAAAATAAAAAAGTGTAACAATTAACACAAGCTTACACCGATATAAGTGAATAAAATAAAAAAGTTATCACTTAACACATACTAACACCGGTATAAGTCTGTACATATCTCAATATCTTAGTATCTAGCAATAAAAACATAATTATATTGGTATAAGTATATTTCTATATTTTCAAAGAAATAAAAAATATATATTGAGTTATTTGTATACAAATTTTATTAAAAAATATATAAATTATGTACATCTCCAAATATCTTAGTACTTAACAATAAACACATAATTATATTGGTGTAAGTATGCTTCTATATTTTAAAGAAATAAAATATTAAAATTAATAAAAGTATGTATTAAGCTATTTGTATACAATTTTTATTAATATATATATATATAAATTATAAATAAAAGAAAACTATATTAAATTATTTGTGTAAAAAATAATAAAATACAAATATAGTTATAAATTTAATTTATTAATAGTTAACTGTTTATCAAAATTCGTAATAGTAACTTTAACCGTTAACCATCATTTTTAGAAGTCCAGTTAATTGAAATTGTTTACTATTAACAATTCGATTAATTAACTTATTAAATATAATAATTATACTAATTAACGATTATCGTTACGGGATTTTTTGAACACCCCTAATAAATAACATATAATCAACAATCCAAAAGTATCCCAAGTGTGAATTTATTATATATTCAATTGTTAATTAATTTTCTTAATTTAAATTTATCATTTTCAAAGTAAATATATATAGAATTTTTTTTGTTACCCTTTCGATTACAAGGCTTCGTCTTGACTAATTCAGATTGATTCGTGTCATACATTTGATTTTTGTGGATGAATAACCCAACAAGGATTTTTGCATACACAAGGACTCTAACATAAGACTTTGCTTCAACGATATCAAGCTGTTTACCATTTAAACTAACTCTGGTAGTGTATATATATATAATTTAATTCAGTTGATTTATAACATCATTTATACGGAAAAAATGAAAGTAGTTTATAGCACATGAAAAAAGGCAATGGTGTTTAGGAGGTGTAAGAGGGGGGAAGGTTTGATTGGTCATTCGACAACATTAGAGAATTGTCGGGCTGCTTTTTGGTCTCAAGTTGGCTGCCATCCACGACCGACCAGACCGCCCTTCTAGTTTTATGTGGGTAACCCCGGGTGGAGAGCGGACTCTGTCCTTCATTGGATGAAAAAGACATTTGCCCTTCCTCTTTTATTTATTTATGGGCAAACTACACATTTAGTATCTTAATTATAACTTTTACTTTATTTTAGTAATTTAACTATTCTCTTTTTAAAGTATAACATTATATTTATTTTGATTATCCATCATTAGAAAGTTAACAGAAATACGAGAGTTGTATTTTTATATTTTTTAAAGATGGTGTGTGCAATTATCATATAATAACACATTAATTTCATCGTTATTTTTTAACGGTAGACAATCAAAATAAAACCGGTTAAATATTTTCCTGCGTGTTATTTTCCCCCAATAAGATTACATTATTTTTCCTACACTTTCTTATTTGGTGAAATTTAAGAAAATTTCACTCGATATTATATAGTTGGCAACATTGGACCGTACTACCAAATATAGTATCGGCAACTGGTCAGCTGAGTCAGCTTTGAGTTATAAATTTGTCCTACCCGCCTAATACTATGTTTTTGGTTATTCAACTTTGTCTATATTATTCTTTGCATCATTTAACTTTAACATTTTTCGATTTCATTATCCAATTTTTGGGTTTAGCTTTCTTTATAACTCAAATATTAAGTCTTTAACGTCAATACCAAAACACTATGTTTTGGGGCCTTTTATTTTTTAAAATTGACTAAAAAATTTAACATTCTTTTCCTTGTAATTGATATCACTCTCCAACATTCTTTGACAGTCATCGATCAATATTTACGATATAATTAGTTCTAAAATATTTTTTCTCATCTTTTTTCAATTTAATTTTAAAAAAAAAAATCTCTCAAAGTTGATAAAACTCAAACCAGAATTTCAAACTTATTTTGGTTCGATTTACAATCTCCATTGTCTTACCAATATAAAATCAAGATATATTATTTTTTTTCTCATTATCAACCTTTCCATTGTTCAGATTTGAAGAAACTATCTTCATACTGGTGAGTCCAAGGAAGTATGAAAATATGGGTTTGAAAGGAGGGATTCAGGTTTTTTTTCTTCATAAATTCACTCAAAAGATTAAAACGACATTAAGGACTTAATGATTGAGTGACCAGAAAGAAACAATTTTGAAAATTTTAAATTTAATTGGCCAGACAAAAAATTGGCAAAGTTGATTGATCAAATTTTTGAAACATATATATTTTTATATATTAATTTTTCAAAGGTGATATTTAGAAAAAGAAAAGAGAGAGGCCAAATTATGTTGGTAAGAATAAATTTTGGTTATCTATAAAAAAACATAAAGTAAGTTATTATTCCTTAAAAACAGAGTTTAGTATAACTAATAATTCTAGAAAACTATTTCCATTTCCATATATTAAAAAAACAAAAATAATTGTTGAAAAGAACCAAACCTAAGAGTCATATCATGGCAGCGTTTGAATTCCATCCAATTGAATCAATTAATTAAAGGGTGGGGGTGGCAATGCAGATTTGGAAAGCCAATTAAATGATCAATTAATTAAAGGGTGGGGGTGGCAATGCGGATTTGGAAAGCCAATTGAATGATTAATTGATTAAGTATTTTGACGGTTTTACAATTTAGTTCTTGATTTTATTGTTTATTCGATTCATCTTTCATTTTAAGTCTAATTTTTTATTAAATTTGAACAACATGCTCCTAAACCACCTAGAATACATATGTACTTTCAATTCATCTTTTTGAAAATAAATTTTCTATTTTTAATTTAGTCCCTCATTTTTCACAATTTTCTTATTTCTTCAATTCACCATTTATTTCAATTTCATTTTTTTACTAAATTTGAACCACATGCTTCTAAATCATCGTAGAATATATATGTACTTTCAATTCCTCTTTTTGATAACAAATTTATTTTCAATTTAATCCCTCAATTTTTCATAATTTACTTATTTTTTTCAATTCACCCTTTATTTCAAGTCTATTTTTTTACCAATTTTGAACCACATGCTCATTACCACAATAAAATACCTATGTAACTTCAATTCTTACATTTTTTTTACTAAAAATGCACTCTTTTTTATTTAGTCCCTTAGCTTTGCATTTTACTCAATTTGGCCATTTGACAATAATTGTTTGCAAATTCTTTCTTCCCATCAATTCCTTATGTCCTTGCCATTTATAAATAATTACAACAAAATTAGTATAAAAACTAGAATAACTTGACTCGAATTTCTTAAACTTAACTCAACTTGAAAAATTTTCAAGTTAAGTTTGAATTGTAAATTACATCTCCTCAACTTGAATAACTCAAAAATTTTACTTGACTCGATCGACGATCGAATCCTCACCTTAATCGTGATATATGTTTGGTGATTGTGAGTACCTATCATAAATCCATACATATATACAAGACCCATTTAAACATCCAAAACTTGAAGCCTAACAACTGTTGACCCATTTGAAGCCTAAAGGAAGAAGCTTAAACGTGCTAATTCATCAAATTAGGGTTTTATATTAACCCTTAAAGCACCATTAATGCTTGATCGTTAGATCTGGCCTTGCATCTAATGGTCCTGATTAATCCAAGAATAGGGTTATCTTAACCCTAATATCCATGTTCCAGCCACCGTCAGCAGCTCTTGGTCCCTCGTCCACGTCAAAATCATCAAGCCGTGGCCCCCCCATTCCTCCATGTAGCCACAACAGTCTCCAACAAGCTTCCAATGGTTCATCCTCTTCATCAGCAACAACATGGAGATGAAGACAAAGAAAAATGTGAATTGGCATATTGTTGTAATATGATTGGAAGACAATTGGCTTCCAATCAGAAATTTTTATTCTATTTTCCGTTTGTAATATGAAAACACCTTTAAAAGGTCTCAAAAAATTCGTGTATACGGTTGAAAGTCCGAAAATAAAAATCAAAACACAACTTATTTTGAGGTATTTTCTTAACTTTTTATATCCGACAGCTTTATGCATGTGTTTTTTTGGAAGAAAAATTTAAAAAAAAAATGGCGAGTTGCTTACCTTTGTCGTGGTCGTCGATCGTCGGAATCGTAACTTGAAAAGTCAAAATTTTATCGGCTGTTGGGAGTCTGTGATTTAGCATTTTCTAAGGTTATGTTTTAAAGGCGTTAGAACAAAGGAGATTAGTTTTAGGCCTAGGTTTAGAATTTGGTTAGCACGACCACCGTTGGTTGTGGTCATAAGAGAAAGAATAGTGTCGTTTTACGATGAATGGATAATGATTATGGGTTTAAGGTTGAGTCTTAGTCAAAGATATGAGATATTTTTAGAAGAAAATAGGTGTTTTGGTTCATTTAGGGGGTTTAATTAGGGCTTTTTTGGTTGGGTTTAGTGGTGATCAGAGCGAAGATGGCCATAGTC